TTACAATACCAGTACATTCTATAGCTATTATTCTGGCTACTTATGGGTAAGCAGGTTAAAATACTCCCATTTTTAACAAGTCACTATGGATTAAGACATTTCAATACTGCCAAAAGACACATTTTTAATGTGTCAGAAATTTACAACAGAACTAACAGAGCTGAAATAAATGAAAAAATTAATGAATACTTAAAACTATTCTTTTATATTAGCATAAGTGATTACTTTTCTGTTCAAGAACATGAACAGAAACATCACACACTATGCTTTTGAAAAGCAACTTTTTAGCAGCAGAAACATTTTTATTTGATATCAAAAGCATGCTCTAGAAGCTGGAGTATCTAAATTCACACAGGCCTACAGCAGCTGCATGCACACCTTTGCACAGTAGAAGACAAAATACCTCAATTGTATCTGCTTGCGTTTTTGAAGTTCTTGATTTCGAAGTTCTTCCAAACGCCTCAATTCTTCTTGGCGTCGCATGAGATCTAACAGGATTAAAAACGTAATAAAGATAAAAGCTGCCTATCAGCAACATGGCAACACAAAACATTGCTATTACTGTCAGATTACAGTTCTAACATTCAATTTTTACAGAATTCTCTCAATGTATTTAACTAGTTTCCTCCCATAAAGCTAAGTCTAGTATACGAAAAACCACACTGAATCTACAACTCGCAAACATGGAACGACACAAGACTGGCAAAGCCTCCGAAGCAGTTTATGGAAACAGAAATCTGAAGTCCTCAAACAAAGAAAAGGAGGAAAAAAAACTCTCCATCACTTAAATGACATTCTAGTTTAACATCTAGGGCAAGGCATCAATTGTCTCATAATGTCATATACTGCTAAATTCACACTAGCAAGAAAACTAGTACAATATATATGGGCTTATACTCTCCGCTACCTATTGCAGACCACTGTATGGCACACATCAGAAAGAAGTGGTATGAATTTCAGGTGCATGTAATCTGAGCCTCCAGAGAGATTTATCACATGACTCAGTTTATAGCAACTTATAAATGACTTATCTTTAACACTACCAGAAAGGAACAGCTGTATCCTCTTAAAATACTCTTAAAAAACAGTGCTCAACTAATAGTAATTACTTTCACTGTACTAGTTTCTGATCAGTCACATTATTGATTTTTGCCTGGAAATTTATGCTTTCCTCAATGAATATTAATTCTACTTTTTGTTAGAAAGCAGTTGTTTGCCTTTTCTATCTCCATAGGATATTGGCCACATGACAGTATTTACAGACACCATGAGGAACATTCCACTGCACCACCTATTATATGTCTTTTATGCTTTAGTTCAACTACTCCACACATTTCTCTATGCATTTCCTCACTATTCTAATTAAAGCATCTTTTTAGCTATGCAAATCACTTCCCTCAAACTTTCATCAGAGTATATTATAACAACTTAACCTTTTACTTTAATATTAAAAAACAACTACAACGACCAGTACATTTCACCAAAATATCATGCATTTGTATTCTTTTCTAACAAAGAAGATTAAGGCTGAAAGAGTTGGGGTTGTTCAGCCTGAAGAAAAGAAGGTTCCAGGGAGACCTTACTGCAGCCTGTCAGTACTTAAAGGGGATTTGTAAGAAAGATGGGGACAGATTTTTTAGCAGGGCCTGTTGCGATAGGACAGGGATAACAGTTTTAAACTAAAAGAGGGTAGATTTAGACTAGATGTAAGGAAGAAATTGTTGACAATGAGGGTGGTGAAACACTGGCACAGGTTGCCCAGAGAGATGGTAGATGGTGCCATGGCTGAAAACATTCCAGGTCAGGTTGAACAGGGCTCTGAGCAACCTGCTCTATTTGAAGATGTCCCTGTTCACTGCAGGGGGACTGGACTAGGTCCCTTCCAACCCAAACTATTCTATGATCCTATGCAGATCACTGGCTTTTGGAGTATGCTGGGAAGTGTGAGCAGAGTCCTGAGTCCAACGTCACTGAGTCCCCCTGCAACCCTGCAGCACGCATCCATCAACACCCAAAAAACTTCTTCTAAGGGAAACAATGTCAGACATTCTATGATCAGAGTTTTACTCTCACAGCATCCTTATTGACATTAGAAGTCCTTTCTCAAGCACGTTTTACAGGTTTGCTTTTTCCAATCTCTTCTGCAAAACTAATACATTTCACACTTCAATAGGACATGATTACACTGAAGATTCACTCAAAACACAAAATTTAAGGATTGCTTCTTTCCAACACTGCTTGCAATAACAGGCTTGGACACTGTTACCCTGATACCGAGGGAGCACTACAATCACACCTTTTTCTTTTACAAGTAACCTTTATGTTGTTTCAGAGTATTACTGAGATCAAGAATTGACCCATTCTATGCTCAGTGTTGTCCACTATTGGAAAAGTTGTTTCCTTGTCCTATCTTTGTTTTTTAAATTTATGCAGCATTCCCTTTTTCTTGTGTTAATACACTGGCACAGGATTTCCTACTTTCTCTCTACCACTAATTGCTACAAATTTATCATTTACTCCCCTTTATTGTTAAGGTCCTACTTTTCCCAGTGCCCTCTCAATTTTTTTCCACAGCTTAGTTCTGATTACTGCCTTTCCTGCAGTATTTTAAAGTTCAGCATACCAATTTATGATCCAGTACCATTTGACAATGGCAGAATATTGGCACAAAGCCTTACTAGCCAGATGAAAATATAGATCTGGAAGTTCAGGCTGTGCACAGAGCTATTCATATTAAAAGATCTGCAATGATGGTAATTCTGGAGTGACATTATGTTGGACACAAGCCCTTTCTCTGAATAGAAAAAAACTGCACTAAAGCAGCTGTGAAAGAAAAAAAAGACAGAAAGCATTAGTATTAGCTTCTGCACCTTCTTGTGCTTAAAAAAGGGCAAAGTCTTCATTTTATCCTCAACCTTCTGCAAAGCAGAGGGCAGAAGGTGGAAGTATACTCTCACCTCACAGTAATCCTACAAGCAGGAATACCAAGTCCAAAAAAGCTTAAGTTGTTTCATGCTGATGATTTTCCAGGTTCTAAAAATGGAGAAGCCCAGCTTCCACCTAACTGGTAAATAATTAAGCTTCTGGTCAAATTCAGTCACATTTTCCATTATTTCCACAAACTATTTAACTACCATTATGAGGGAATGTTTACAAAAGTCTGAAGCGTTACCACCAATATGTAGATCAGAAACATCATGCCAATTTACTTACACATGGAAACACGTATTCTGCTTTACAAATTACTTCTCACTCAATCTGTCAAAACGTGACACTTAAAGTGAAAAATTACACATATCAGAAGAATGAAGTCTACCTTCAGCACTAATACCACAGCATGAAAACCTGAGTACTTATGCCAAGATGTTCAAGTCCTACTAGCTCTCATAAAGCAATTTCTATGAAACCTTCACCTGCAGGAGTATACGGACTCTAGTTAAAGTTCACCCTTTCTATCCTCTTTTTTGCTCCTGACAATTAATACACTGTATTTCATATCTCAGAATAACTATTTCAATACACCTTTACGTCTGTGGTTTGTGCATCAGGTATACAAACACATTAATTCTAGGTTTGGATGCCTCAAAAGTTTCACTGTATCTTCCTTAAAAAAAAAAAAAAAAGGTGATGCAATCTCATTAATATAAATTAATATTCTTGGCATAGTCTGAGCTTATATCCAGAGATACTGTTCAGACCAGTAAGATTTAAAAGCAGCTAATGTCTGAAAATACATACAAGAGGGAAAAACACATCTTATTTTCATACACACTACACTTAAGCTGGAGAATTGATAAGATTAAAACAGAAGGAATGTTTACTAACCCCTAACAGTCTGGCAAATTAAACATCTGCATGTGCATAAGCAGAAATCTAAGTCTGAAAAAAATTCCAAGTTATTTGGTACAAGAGAGAAGTACTCTGCTAACCAAATGGGGAAGGAAAAAACCCTCTTCCCACACTAACAAAAAGCATGTTTCCTTCCTAGAACATTAGCACCAAAAGCATTCATATTCTAGTGGCTCCTTAACAGGAGTAATTCTTTTCCTTTTCCATATAGAAGTGGAGCTTAATAGATATTCAAAAAAGGACTATTTTTTCCTTCACAGCATTCTTAAAAGAAACTCTAATATCCACAAAACATACTTAAACTGTTCTCCCATGTTTTACCATCAAGACCTTTTCCGTCCTAATAAACAGGCCACTGCCTTCTTGTCTCAGTAAGGCATGGCAATTTAGGAAAAAGTAATCCCTAACCTTGCTGCCAACTACAGGCAACAGGTGGATAAATTCTAAAAAAAAAAAGAGTATAAGTTCTAGAACTGGATCATTAGCACTGTCAAATATTAACAATTAGTCAATGGTAAATTTATCCATTGTATGTTCAGTGCTGAACTATCTTTACCAATATCAGTCTCACAGAAACTTAAAAATCTGTGTGTAATTGAAAAGGAGGGGCTGTACTGTACATTGTAGGCATTGTTATATCACATCAACATTCACATTCGTCACCTGTAAAATATACCTATGCTTACATGCAAACCAAATGCTTTAACATTTTTTGCTTAGAAAATAAACCAAAAAACTTTACAGTTGTAATTTCAAGTCTTACATTAACTATCTGGCATTTCTGTTTTTTACTGTATTATGCACTGTATTTCAGTATAAGATCTTTACATAAACAGTATGGTTTCACACTAAAAGCAAGCATGTCTATTTAAAAAAAGACAGGCTAAGTAAACTTTTGTTACAGTAATCTTCAGTTGCAGTATCTATATGAAAAATGAAATATGATCCTTTCAATCTCTTTGCCAGTTATGGAAGTGTTTTAAAACAGATTTTAAAAGACCGTGTGTTTACATTCAATATATCCAAGCATTTAGGTACCTTAATCCCACCAACCTAGTGAATACTCTAATTCAGCTCATATGGATGTTTTCAACATGTCATTCCAGTCAGCAGAAAAAAATTAAGATAAACCAGTCTCACACAGAGAAGATGTACTATCAATAAAAATGTCCTTTCTTAAGAGTAAGCATTAAGTAAAGCCAAATAATTGCAGCAGACAGCTTGTGTGAGTTATCTGGGTTTAAGTTTTGACATGCATCCACTAAAGAGTCTCAAGAAGTTCAACTCCCCTTAAAATGATAAGGCACTCTTGTTCAGCCTATCAAGCTAGTTATCGTACTGTCTTATGATCTAACACTCTTAGGGATAAGAATTTTTTTAGGTAGCCACGATCTCCCTTAAATGAAGATGTTTTAAAAAAGAAAATACTTCAGTGTTTCATTCATGCAGCAAACCTTGAGATCCCTTCCAACAGATTTGCAACATATTTAAACTTCATTCACTCAAGTCTTGCAATTTAGCAGTCATACAGAGGGGAAATAAAATCCAGTAGTAGTTCTGAACTGGAAAGCAGTGATGTACGTCCACAGCATTTTGAGAAAAACATGTTTTAGGGAGAAAGCTAACAAGCAGAAAGTACCAGATATTCCTCTGCCCGAGAAACACAAGCTCCAGCCAGCTCTGTTCTTAAAGATAGGGCTTGAAAGCAATTGCTAGAGGACTTTTTTCCCCACTTAACACTGGCAGAAGACAAAATGTCCAAACAATTACGGAAGAGGGATACATGATCTTAAGATTTCAAGAGCAAATTAAATTCATGGCAACTGTGAGTTATTTTGAGTTGTTATATACACATAATACTATGCAGACATCAGACTTCTCAGTTGCATTCCAAATGAAAAAGTCACATTAGCAACATTAACATTTAAAATCATACCAGAGGTGCACAAAACAGCCAAAAGAAGCACAAGCTATCATTTTTATTTTTTCCTCCACATGGCCCAAAACAGTACTTAGTTCTATCTGGTACCATAAGCAACACCAAAAATAGAACATAATTTTACTGATGTGTGTGAATAACTACCATTCCATTTCTTTCCATAAACTACTTACACTAGACAAATTTTGAAAGTGAAGAAAACAGACCTAGATAATCACCCCTTTCTCAGTTTCTTAATCCATCTCTGCAAATCATCACGGAGTATGTGTAAGGAGAAATATTACTTCCTTCTTCTCAATTCAATGCATTTAATTAAATAGCATCTGGCAAAATCTCTTAAGTTTAACACACAGCTCAATATGCTACACAAAGAAAACCTGAGACAAAACAAATTTAATACTAGTACATTATCTGACTTTACCTTGCCTCATCAGCATTAGCTGATGCTCATGTCTAGCTGCTTCCATTTCTGCCTCTAGTTTCTCTTTGGCTTCTCTAATGTTCCTGTCAACCTGTTCACGCTGTTGCTTTTCCATCTCATCAAGAGCCTTCCACCGTGAAGCATACTCAAACTCAAATGTTCCAGGCTGAGCAAAACGTGGAGGCTGTTCTCTTT